GTCTGGGCAGGGCTGATGAAAGGAGATGTAGATAGGTCTCTTGTGATACAATAGTGAATAATTACTATCAGGACTAATTGTGAGGGTTGGAAATGTAAAGGTAGACATTTTGTAGCAAAAGGAGGGGAGTGATTGACTTTGCAGTCTAGGAGCAGAGGTCCCTGGAACCATCAAGGGAGAAGAGCGGAGAACGGAGAACGGGACCCTACCCAGAAAAACAGTGATGCCAGAGATGGAGGCAGAGACAATGACGTGGAGAGATGGAGCGGCTGGGAACTTTAGACCCAGGGAGAGAGAGGGGCTATGCGTTGATGACCAGGGGGGCAGGCTTGCAAGGTATACCTTTGGTTGATGATGCATGGAGGGGATTGTAACCATGGCAATGAAATGTATGATAGGATGAATTTAAAGCTAATGTTCTCCCATGTAAACTATCAAATAATTCACAATAAAACATTTGGGAAAAAAAAGGAGAAATAGAAAATTTGGAGACTGTGAAGCCCAGGAATTCTTTTCCATCCTAGAGCAGTTTTTTTTCTGACGCTTGACTACACATTAAATTCAAGTGGGGAAGTTAAAAAAAAATTCCAGTGCCCAAACAGAGATATGAAACTGTTGCTATCTATGGAGTCTACTCCAACTCATAGGAACCTCAATAGAACAGACCAGAACTGCCCCGTAGGGTTTCCTAGGCTGTAATCTTTACAGAAACAGACCACTACATTGTTCTCCTATGGACTGGTTTGTGAGTTCAAAATCCAAGCGCTTAACCTCTGTGCCATGAAGGTTCCTGGCCAAGATATAGTCCTGATTAATTATATCGGAGTCTCTAGGAGTGGAAAGCAAACCAAACATCAGTAATTTTTCTTCATATTCTCAGGTGGTTCCAATGCATAACCAAGGTAGACAGCCACTGAGGCTGACGTCTATTTCTAGTGACAGATCTTTCCAGATCATGTGCTTCTGTTAGTAGCAATCACATAGACTCAATATTGAAATCCAATAAAACATAAACAATTACAAAATGGCTTTATTTGCCAGCAAATATTAAAAGACACTTTACCGCATCTAATATTTGTTTGATGGAGCCCTGGTGGCACAGTGGCTACTAATTGAAAGGTTGGTGGTTTGAACCCACCAGTCCCTTCAGTGCAGCCATTCACGTGGCGGTCTGCTCCTGTAACAAATGACAACCTTGGAAACCCTGTGGCGCGGATCTTCTCTATACTACAGGGTCACTGTCAGTCAGAATCAACCTCATGGCAATGAGTCTTGTTTTGTTTTGATTGTTCGTTTACACATTATTACAATTCACACAGGAAACCAAGAACATTGCATTCTTGCCCTGGATTTGTGAATTTTCAAAATGAAGGACTGGTTTCCTAATAACCACTGAAGATGACTTTGGCTTTATGCGTTGATTCTTTGGTATCATTCTGAACTCATACATCTACACATAAACTGCCTCCGTGGGAACCTCTGAGGGTG